TTTTTTTGTTCTTTTTTTTTTTTCTTTTTTTTGGTTTTTCGAGACAGGGTTTCTCTGTGGTTTTGGAGTCTGTCCTGAAACTAGCTCTTGTAGATCAGGATGGTCTTGAACTCACAGAGATCCGCCTGCCTCTGCCTCCTGAGTGCTGGGATTAAAGGCGTGCGCCACCATCGCCCGGGGAAGCATTGCTTCTTTATAACGTACATGCTTAGTCTCACTTAACCTGGTCAACGATGACTTATTTCTGCAAACAGGACACTAATACTCCTCCAGGCGTGTCGGCAGAATTGTAAAAAGTAAGCAGAAAGTCCAGAGGAAATGGTGACTCTCATCTCTCCACTTTCAGAGATGGGGTGACTTGTCACAGTTCAGACAGGAAGGATGAGATCGGGCCAGGGCTTGATCCCAGGCTTCTCACCGTGTTACCCGGCACAGGGCTTGATCCCAGGCTTCTCACTGTGTTACCTGGCACACTCTCCATTCATTTTGTGTCCTATTATGAAACACATCATTGGTGTTCAGCTGTGTGAAAGGAACAAAAGAGACAGTATGCTGTATGTGGGGCGCACACAGCAGAAGTCTGGATAGTGTGACTGTAGATTGCAGGACTTTAAAAATCAGAGCAGCTTAGGTCCACAGGACTCTTCAGTCCAACCCACTCCTTTGACTGGCATGCAAATGGACCTTTCCTAGAATTAGGTAGTAGGACTTAGGCCAAGCCTTTGGATCCCTGGTGCCTTTTGACACAGTTTATGTAACTCTGGCTATCCTGCAGCTGTCTGTGTAGACCAGGCTAGCCTACAGAGATCTGCTGAGTGTGCTGGGATCAAAGGCATGGGCCATCATGCTGCACTGGTGCATTGTTTAAGTATTCTTAAAGTCCTGGGAAAGAGGTTCCCTGTAAGCTGGAAGGTCTACTCTTATTTTGAGACAGAGTCTCACTCTCTAGCCCTGGCTGGCCCACAGTCTCTTTTGTAGACCAGGCTGGCCTCTGCCTTCCAAGAGTTGTGATCAAACACCCATTTGTTTTTTTTTGTTTTTGTTTTTGTTTTTGTTTTTGTTTTTGAGGCAGGGTTTTGTTCTGTAGCTCTGGCTGGCCTTGAACTTGCTATATAACCCTGGCTGGTCTCCTTGTGTGGACAAGATGGCTTTGAACTTGGTGTAATACTCCTGCCTTTACCTCCCAAATGCTGGGATTATGAACATCATGCCAAGCTTCTATTCTTTCTCTTTTCTTTTTCCTCTCCCTTTCTGTGCTGGGATGGAACCTAGAGCCTCCAGCGTGTTAGGCAAGTACTCTCTACCACTGAGCTCTAGCCCCAGCCCCTCTAACCTTTGAAACCCCCAGTCCGCCTTCTGAGCTTTACTGGGTTTATCTCATCCCTTCTCTTCCACATCAGCTTTTGGGGGGCTGGGCTCTCTCCATAAATGACTATGGGACTCAGTGGCGAGGACTACCTTTGGCCCAGGGTCCTCATCCCCACCCTCCCTCAGATATCGATGAGTGCAGCTACTCCAGCTACCTCTGCCAGTATCGCTGTGTCAATGAGCCAGGCCGCTTCTCCTGTCACTGCCCACAAGGCTACCAGCTGTTGGCTACGAGGCTCTGCCAAGGTACAGGTGCTGCTGGTGGGCGGGCAGGATTTTAGGGTTTGGTGTCAGAGCCAGAGTCCAACCTCACCTCCCTTGGCACAGACATCGACGAGTGTGAATCAGGTGCACACCAGTGTTCTGAGGCCCAAACTTGTGTGAACTTCCATGGGGGCTACCGCTGCGTGGACACCAACCGTTGTGTGGAGCCCTATGTCCAAGTGTCGGACAAGTGAGTCAACCTGACGGCAGTTTCCCCGTGGTAACTACAGTTCCCGAGGGCTATGGGGGCTAACTGGTTCAATCAGGCTGGTGAGTACCCATGATGCCTCATGGGAGTTAGTCTTACGTGCTTGGGTTTTCTCTTTAGGAGGTGGGCATATGGGAAATGGGCCCTCATTCTGGTCCTATCTTGGGGTCTCTAGCCGCTGCCTCTGCCCTGTCTCCAACCCGCTGTGTCGGGAGCAGCCTTCATCCATTGTGCACCGCTACATGAGCATCACCTCCGAGCGCAGTGTGCCTGCGGACGTGTTTCAGATCCAGGCAACCTCTGTCTACCCTGGCGCCTACAATGCCTTTCAGATCCGTGCTGGAAACACACAGGGGGACTTCTACATTCGGGTAAGGTGCTTCTCTGCTCACAAGCAGTTGATGTGGATAATATAGAGTGCCTGCAGCCATTTAAGTGGGAGCTGCCCTGCCTCTTCTCTCAAAGCCCTGTCCTAGGAAGCTGGGCTCATGTTCAAAGTCAAGATTTCTGCATCCCCAGTACACGGGTCCCAGGCAATTCTAACAGGCAGTTAGTTAATGGGGTTTGAGTCCTAGCACTGGTTTCTCCTATCTGGCTTTGACATCCTTATCCATAAAACAAGAAATATAGTTCCTGTAGGGCTGGGATCAGAGCTTGAGTTTTGCTGGTGTGGATGTGAGGACTCTGGGTCTGTGGACCTTATGCTGTCTTCAGCATTGAGGTGTTTGGCATCAGAACTTATTTCTCCTTTCAAAATTGCTTTGGGACTAGTGGCACAGCTCCATGGAGGAACATGTGCTTACCATTCAGGCCCTCCCCAGCATCAAAACAGTCAGACACCTGGGCAGTGGTGGTACACGCCTTTAATCCCAGCACTCAGGAGGCAGAGGCAGGTGGATCTCTGTAAGTTTGAGACCAGCCTGATCTACAAGAGCTAGCTCCAGGACAGGCTCCAAAGCTACCGAGAAACCATGTCTCAAACCCCCGCATCCCCCCAAAAAAATCAGACAGAGAAAAACAGAGACTTGGATACTTTGAAAGGGGGAGGTGGGTCAGCCTGGGTCACTAAAGGCCAATCATTTCCAAAACTTGAGTCTTCAGGTAGTCATGATGGAGGGAAGATCGAGGTGGGTAGGGTCAGGGGAGAACCAGAGGGCTTGGGCACTGGAGAGGAAGAGAAACGTCAGAGCTGGGTAAGAGCTTGAGTGCCCAGCGTCACGGGCACGGGCAGGGGGTGAAGCTGGAGTAGGGTCCTGACTTACAGGCTAACACAGTCTCTATGTTCTGCAGCAAATCAACAATGTCAGCGCCATGCTGGTCCTTGCCAGGCCAGTGACAGGACCACGGGAGTATGTGCTGGACCTGGAGATGGTCACCATGAACTCTCTTATGAGCTACCGGGCCAGCTCTGTACTGAGACTCACCGTCTTTGTGGGAGCCTACACCTTCTGAAGGAGACCCTCAGGGAAGGGTTGGGTGGGGCCCCCTTCTTTCTCCCTCCCACAGCTTAAGGAGCCTGGGGTTTAGGGATGACTGTTCTGCTTAAAGAGACAATGATGTGAAGGACAATAAAGGGAGAAGGAGTCCTAGTGGCTGAGGTGGGTGAGTAACCTCAGCCTGGGAAGGCGCTGGGCTTGTGAGAGAAGCAGGCAAATTTCACCCAAAGGGTCCTCTCTGCATTCAGGCTGAGAAGGTTCCAGAGCTTAAGTGTCATTCTTCAGAATCAACCTGAGCAGGGAGTTCTAAGGAGTGGATACTTTAGGCCTTAACCCCAGAGCTCGGCAGATGCTAGGCCCCAGAACCCATGTTCAGGTCAGTGCCAAGAGGTCTGGGGCTACTATCCCAGCTCTACACCAAATTACACGTTTGGACAAGCCTACTGTTCTCCAGTCACCAGGATGAGACAACTGGACTGAGAACATGTTTCTATCCCAACTTGTGGTGCTTTTTGTCACAGAAACTTACTTGATCAGGGACCACTTAGTTGCAAAGATAGAGTGCCCCATTGACTCCATCTCCCAGACCAGGGAATGCCCAACCTCTAAGGAGCATTATCTAGCTGTCTGTTTAGTTTTGCATAGGGTCTAGCCTAACACAAGTTAAGTGTACACTCTGCACAACCATGTTTAGCCAAGAGCTTGCCTTAAAAAAAAAAAAAAAAAAAAAAAGAACCGTATGGGCCAGGTATAGTGCTTCACACCGTTAATTCCAGGACCAGGAAGGTGGGCCTAGGAAGACTGGGAATTCTAGGCCAGCATGGGTTACACAGCATGTTCTAGGCCAAGCTGGGTTTCAGGAGTGGGTGGAGAAACACTGTACAAGGCTGCAGATCATTGCTGTGTGGAAGAGGAATTGCCTGGCATGCACAAGGCTATGGGTTCCACCACCAACACTACAAAACAAAAGCCATTGGATCACAAGTTGTAGTCTGCCCGTTCCTGCATATTTCATAAGGACCTTGGCATTGCTTCCTTAACTCCTAAGACCACAAACGTTCAGATTTTGATTATAGCCCAAAGAATCCTAGTTAAAGGGCTGGCTAGCCTTGGTAGAAGTGAAGATGGCTCTGGGATGTGTCTCCAGGTGAAGTTCAAGTCAGAGGGCAGTGGCTGCAGTATAGCTGGTACAGGGTCCTGCTCAGAGCAGGTCCCAGATTTCTGTAAGAGAATCAGAATGTTGGCCTGGTGCCTCGGGCCACCCAGTCTTCTCCCCAGGGTGTGTCTCACCCTTACCTCTGCAGACGCCCGCACTTGATAGTGCTCAACAGCATCTCCTGCTCCTTAGGGGTGGCACAGGCGTCATAGGCAGCCAGGAGACTGGGGGTGGGACATGCAGTGGCTGGTTATGTGGGCCAGCATCATGACAGCTAAGGCAGTTGGGTTCAGCCTAGAGGAGTCTGGACACTGCATGTTTCCTGATCCTGGCGATAGAGACCCTCCTCCATCCTGTCTGCCCTCCCTTCCTGGGAAACACTGGGACAGAATCTTCCAAGGCTCCCACACAGAGCCAAGCTCTCTCTCCAGAAGCACTGCTTAAGTTGAACACACAGAAAGGGCAGAGGAACCCAGTGGCTCTCTGGGGTGTACCTGGATGGTGTGCTGTATCGATCCACCAGGGCGGCTGCCTTCTCCCCACTTAGTCCACGCACCTGCATCAGCTGCCGGGCAAATACTTCTCGTACAGACTGGGCCTGGGATTGGGACAGGCCTTGATCAGGGGTGGTCTAGGACCAGGCCACCTAACCATAGGCAAGGCAAGGGTAGTACCTTGTTCTTGACAGCTTCTGCATTGAAGTCATTGAAAGTGAGGAGTGAGCAGAGAGGGTCTGTGGAAGGCCTTGCTCCTGATTCAGCATCCCCTGGGGTTTCCCAGGGGCGGCTACGTAGGGTGTGGCCCTAGTAGAAGAGGGGACTGAGGCTAGGGTAGGCTTTAGGAGTTAACCCCCAGCTATTCCTTTCCCAGGCCTCAGTGGGAAACCTGAGTAACCAGGATCTCACCCACTTTTCCTTGCTTGGGCAGCAACCACCAGGTGAGGGCCCAGTGCTGAAAGAGGCATCTGCTCACCTGATACAGTCTTTCTAGGCCCTTTGTCAGAAGGGCCAGGTAGCCAGCTGACTCCTTAATATCCATCGTGCGCTTCACAAAGAAGCCATCAATGACCTGGAGAAAAGGACCCAAGGGAGGTGGCTCCAGGTCTAATCCATGGAGTACAAAGTCTGCCAGCCTGGCCCTGTCCTCCAGCTCACCTGGGTGTTTGTGACAGCCTGTAGCAATGTACTCTCAGGAAGGCTGAGGTTGTGGACAGACCCATGTTCCTCCACCAAGTATACTCGGTGCCCCAGGCCACAGCGCTTCAGGCGGAACTGGGAAGGCAGGCAAAAGCAGGGTAGGTCAGGCTCAAATGCCTACATGTGTGGGCCAACCATATATCACATTAAGATTGCAAGGAGATGGGAATGGAGAGATGGCTTAGAGGTTAAGAGCACTGGCTGCTCTTCCAGAGGACCTGAGTTCAATTCCCAGCAACCATATGGTAGCTAACAACTGTCTGTAACTCCAGTTCTAAGGGATCTGACACCCTTGCATAGACATATACAATCAAAACACTAATGCCCATAAAATAAGTAAATCTTTAAAAAGAAAAAACACTGACTATTCTAGAGGACCTAGGTTTAATTCACAGCACCCACATGGCAGTGCACAACTGTCTATAACTATTAAGCTCTGACACAGATTTAACAACACACTTCATTTAGTTATATACATATTTATATATATGATTTCAAGGAGACCCTGATCCTACTACAGTCTTATCTTTACTGGCTCCTTGTCTGTCTCAGAGGAGCAAACCGGCTCTTGCTATGACTCCTGTAGGAGAGTCCTGAACCTCTGGACATTACATATTCTCCAGGCCTCCTTCAGCCTATTACTGACCTCTGTGACCCTATGGTGAGCGCACTGCTAAGACTTGGGCATAGCTTCTGCATTTCCAATGCTATGAGATCTCTAAGGTTAGGCACTCAAGGGGTCTTTAGGTTTCTCAGGCCAGCCTAGATAACTGTGGGTTCCTACTTGCACCTTCATGGCTTAAAAGGGGCTCAGAACAGGTGTGACTGGAGGCCTCTGGAGCTTGTAGCTTTGTCTATGCTGAAGCGAGGCGTGTGTAGACTAAGCACCTTCTGCTCTCGAAAGCGGCCGTCGATGATGCTGCTGCACAGGTCATCCAGCCGCTTGCGTTCCACAATGTGGTCCAAGACTAACTCCTCAGGTCTTGCTGCCAAGGAGTCAAAGAGTCTTACTGCCTTCCTCTGACCCACCCAGGCCAGCCTCCAATGCCTGCCCGTGACCTTTTACCTGGGTCTCTGGGCCTGGTCTCCTGTGCTATCCACACAAAGTCCCCAACATGCAGCTTGCGTACTGTGTGGGGCACATGCAGCCGCTGTAACTCTCGGAGCATTTCTGGCCTGTGTCCTGCCCTAATATTTCAAGAGAGAGGGCCAAGGCGAGTGTGAGCCAGCACTCACCGCCCTCCACATCCTCCAGGTGTTCTCGCGGCCGCCCCCCTTCACTCACCCTCTGGTTTCCCCAGTGTCCACACACAACAGCACTCTGTACTTGCCAGGCCTCAGCTCCAGCGGCGGCTGCTGGACGCCACCTTCACTGGCGCCACTGTAAGGAAGTGGGGGCTTACATAAGGCCAGAACCCTTAGTGCCAGGGTGGTCCCCACAACTCACAGGGACAACTGCGGCTCAGCAGCTACAGGTCCCTGAGATATGGTCTCCCCATTTCTCCCTCCTCCTTACAGTGCTGATAAAGTGGCCGCTGGGGCTGCTGACTCCTCTTCATGGGGCTCCTCTGGTATAATGCCAGTGTTCGGTGTGCTCAGGCCTTCTGCCTTGGCCAGCCTTTGGGCCAGCTCCAGACCCTCTGGGGTCAGTGCATACCTGGGGGGTGGAGGATACAATTTTACCTTTATACCTGGCAAGCTCTGCTGTCCCAAGCTAGGTGAGCATTACCATCCTTGGTACCCCACCTCCTGCTCCATCCCTCAGACCAGCTATCCTCAGGACCTCCCGATCGCTACCTCAGCTTTGCAATGCATGTCCTACAGCTCCTCCCTATTTTCACTCAGAACCATACTCCCCCCCCCCCCAGAATATTCTGGAATTTTTTTTTTTTTCCAGACAGGGTTTCTCCGTAGCTTTTTGGTTCCTGTCCTGGAACTAGCTCTTGTAGACCAGGCTGGCCTTGAACTCACAGAGATCCTCCTGCCTCTGCCTCTGGAGTGCTGGGATTAAAGGCCTGCGCCACCACTGCTCGGCTGGAATCTTTAATCAGCCTTATTTATTTATTTATTTATTTTTTGAGACAGGGTTTCTCTGTAGCTTTGGAATCTGTCCTGGAACTAGCTCTTGTGGACCAGGCTGGCCTCGAACTCACAGAGATCCGCCTGTCTCTGCCTCCCAAGTGCTGGGATTAAAGGATTAAAGGTGTGTGCCAGGCACAATGAGCCGAATTTTAAGACGTGCCAAATGTTTGCGCAGCTCTCTGCTTCTAATAACCGACCTTTTGTCCTTCCCCCAGGTGCTCATACTTTCCAGGGCCTCCAACTTCGGGCTCTCCCAGCCTCAGCAGTTCCGGGTCTGAGACTCGGTGCATCATTATAGAGCCTGCGCATGTCCTAACTCCCACATAGGCCCCATCCCTGCCTCTTGTGTTCCCTGCAGCTTGCCCGTACCTGGATGGCCGATGTGTTCTGAGGACCAAGTTCCTGTGGAGGAGGCCTCTGAGGGCAGGCCATGGTTTTGAACTTCCAGGAACTACCTGTGAAAAGGAAAGGAGATGGGCTAGAGGGATGGCTCAGAGGTTAGCTCTTCCAGAGGACCCTGGTTCAAT